TACTTCTTTTTAAGTGTGATATACACAAAGAATTCACATGAACAAGGTACACTGGTGTGCACAAATGGAATTTTAAAAGACACTGTATATACACAGATATTTTTCCCTTTCTTATTTGTTTTTACTTGTTAACCTGTGGAAACTCAGGGAAATTGCTCTTGACAGATTTAAATCACAGCAGAGAGTCTCAATTTTTGCTCTATTACTTCAAAAGAACAATTTGTTTACAGGTGCTACAGAAGCATTTTGCAGGTTTGCAATGCTTGTTTGCTTTTAGCTTTTGAGTGAAACATTTCTGCAAAAATAAAAGCTCCCTAGGATGAGCAATAAACTATATATCAAACTGGCTGATTTGCTTTGGATGATTTATAATATATAGCACTTACCTGGACTGTACAAACACCAGATAAAAATGGAATAAAGACACAGATATAGAAGTGGGACTAAGTATATAAAAGACATGCAAAAATAATTTGTCAGCTTTAAGGTAAAAGTTTAAGGTAACATTACTGTTATCTCAGCATGTTCCAGCCTGCATTATGAGTTATAAAATTCTAAACTTTCAAGTTTCTGTAACACCTTTATTTTCAGTATCTTAGTTAAAAGATCCTGCAGCACTAAGAGTAGAAATATGAAAGAGGAATAAAAGAACAACAAAAGGACAAAAAGCACTCTTGATACCATGTGAAAGACTACAAAAAAATGGTCCTGTGCTTTTTCCCCAGGTTTAAAAGACCCTGGCCAAACTCCACAGCAACCAAGTGGGCTGCATCTACCATAAACGAATACTTCTGCAGTGCTATATGTAGACAATCTTAATGCCAAACAACTATTGTCTGCTATAGAGCCTATGCTGCTTAGCAGGGGTGTTCCACACAGGCAACTGCATTTAGAAGAACAGTCTTGATTCACCTTCACCATTTAAATATCAGTCTGCAGAATGATTTGTGCTCCACAGGTATAACACACCTTGGGATATAAATTCTTGCAGGCCAGCTTCCCACAGGATTGCTGCCACGAGAGAACGTCAGCCCCTCGCCCTCAGGAGGCAGAACAGTTGTTACGTGCCAGCAGTGGAGACATTATCATTTGACAGTTGTTCAAGCAGTCTAATATTAAGTGAGCTGGTGCTAAGGTCAAAGTCTGACAGCGCAGGAGGAGGAAAAAAACACCAGCTTCAAAGAACCTTTCTGGGACAATGCATCTACTCCAAGACCCACGACACTTCTCCTGAGGACTGATGAGATTATAAATTTTCAGTAGTCTGTCAGACCAGAGTCTCCCTGCTGACAGATTTCACTTCCATCTTTGCATATAAGAGCAAAGATAAGATCAACAAATGAGCTTTTGTGGAGTAACTAGTTTTAGTTAGGACCAAGACCAGTCAGGCCTCGATTTGAAGAGGAAATTCAATTATGAAAAGTCTCTATCTTCGTAATATGTGACACTCCAATGAAAACTAATTAGATTTTATGGTGAAATAATGTGATTTTCTATTCATAAGCAGTTTTAATACAGTCTTAGCATTTCATTTCATATCCTCAGTATATTCAAACAAAAACAATTAAGACTATTTTTATTCCCAGAAGACGAGTACTGTTTGAATATATAAGGCAAACAATGAGCAGCACATGTTTCTACCAGGGTTCTTATGGTATGTTAGGGATTCGTTACCATGAAAACTAAACGCTATTGTTAAATTCCATTTTTCTTGAAGTGATGTTTACATATGCAAAGGCTTTGTTTAAATATTGGAGAAGATTTAAATACCAAAACCTTTAACCTAGTATAAAAAGTTAATTTGAAATATAAATGCCACAGTGAATGAGCACCTGAGCCCTTTCTTCCATATTTTTAGGGTCTAAGTGCTTGCTTCATATTTCAATCACATTTTAGCAATTCAAAAGGGATCCAGTTTTATGCATGAATTAAACTATATTAAGTTTGAAAAACAGAAAACAAATAGTATTGTTAACTATGGCCCCAGCCAATTTACATTAACTTTTCATTTTAAGTATACCATGCAGTACTTTCACAACCATATGTGTGCACACCAATGCAGATAAGCTACTCAACTTATTATTTCAAGCATTTCTTCTGGAAACTTTTTCTGTTTAAATACTTTAAATGCTGAGATCATTTCCCCATTTCAAGTACATTTGCTATTCACTTCATTTTGGCTTGCAATTGACAATTAACTGTCACATATGCATATATTATACCAATTTCTAAAAATAGCAAACCAGATCATTGCTTTGTTGTATTAGAAACTAGATTTGAAAATGGACACAGCAAATTTGTGCATCTCCTGAGAAAAGGACTTAGGTCCCACCAGCATCAAGAACTTTAAATGTAACAAGCATCATTATGGTCCTATTATTCTTCCACTAAGACTTTTAATATCTAGCTACACCTTGTTTTGTAACAACTAGATTCCTACCTGTACAATATTAGAAATGGTAAGAGATACTCTGTGTAAACTTAGCTACCAGAACAGAGTTGAATAAAATATAGAATAGTGTTTAGTATCAATAACTGAATAATCAAAGAAAAACTACCCATAAAACATAGTAACAAGAAATCACTTTCCTATATTACCTTAATATTGACAGGTAAAGAACAATTATTCACAAACATATCTTTACGATACTGATAACATTTTTATAAGATGCAGTTCTACAAAGGCCTCAGTAAAGTTCAAGCAGGAGGGCAACGACAAAGAAAATCCACAACATGTTATCTTGACATCGGATCCGCACCATATTTCATATCACCTGCTTTACTAACAGCCTTCACTGTCATGAACTTGCTCAAGAGACTTGCTCCAAGAGCAAGTAGCAGCAATATGTAGTCAGAAAATGTAAACTGATGCCCTTTCCTCCTAGTTCCCTCCGTTATAATCAAGAGGACAATCCTCTCTGCAGCCATCTTCAGTAAGATTGGGGGAAGCAGAGACTAAGTGTCCTGCTACAACACTACTTGCATGTGTTGTTGCCAACATGAACTCTGAAGTCGTAAGACCAACCAATTTCTGTATCTACACAGAAAATGAATTTCTCAGTAAAAACATAGGTGCTTTTCTTAAACCATGGCACAGGAAATGGAGAGAAGTTTGCAAATCAGAAGGTCCTTAAGAATTACAGAAGGAGAAATTCTCAAATAGTTTTGAAAACATAGCCCTAGAGGACTCAATTGTACAGAGCTGTGTGTGTATATATATATATATATATGCACATATATGTATATGTATCTTGTTTTAAAGATCACCCCTCGTCACCTCTGATTCTTTACCCTACCTGCCATTTATTTCTTATGGCAGCTAAAATAAGACAATTCATGGGTAATCTTCTTAGGCATTATCCTTTACCAGAGGAAATGAAATACTTGGGAAAAATGCGTTTAGCACATGCGAAAACAACTACAATTTGTCGGAAAAAATTGCCCACCTCCTACTTAATTTTAGATTATTGCATAACCACAGCAAAGTCATATATTTAAATATACTTATTATTGAGATCTTCTTTCTGGAGCTATTCCAGTTTTCTTTTGATTAATATATCATGGTCTCTGCTGGACTCATTTGTGAAACTTAAAACCTGCAGAAGCACAAATGCTTGCCAGATTCAGTCAACTAACACTGCTCATGAATTTCAAAGACCAACAAAGTCAGACAGGCAAACTATCTGTACCGAGCTGTGCTTCAGGGTTGAAAAGTAATTCCACTGAAGTTTACTGTAAAAGTCATGATGGCTTTGGTGGAAATAGGAGCAAAAAACAAGACTTCATGAACTCAGAAACATTCTTCTCTTACAAAATAAAGTGAAAGCTAGAGATATCAGTGACAGTCTAAGACAGAGGTTTTTAACCACCAGAGCAGGTAAAGGCAAAGCAGGATGGCAGGTGCCTCAAATATTCAGATCTAAATAGGTGGGGAAAGAGGATAAGATTAAGTTATTTCCAATACACAGCGAGAAGACAGACACGGAAAGCAACAGAAAAGGGCTCTTTATTGGGAGGTTCAGGTGAGTGAAGTGATGAAAACAAAAAAAATGCTATGGCTTTTAGAAGGGAGGTGCATTGCTAATGTCACACAGAAAAAGTCTCTAAACGTATACAAACAAAAATAAACCACCGTGGGCATATTCCTGTGGTGACAGAAAGACTGAAGCTATTTTCCAAAACATTCATGTAAACAAAAGCTTATTTTTCAGAAAAACAATTCTAATAATTGCTTCAAAGTAAGCAAGAACATGCACATGTACCAGTTTTTAGAGCCTAAAAAAACAAATATTGGAACATTCACCTTGATTTTTGTAATAGAAACTTATATAGTTCCAGTGCATAACTTCAAAAAAGGAAATAGAATCTAAGTGTAGAAAAATCCTTTTAACAATAAAAAAAATCAGAAATTCATACTAATTTTAGAGAGTAAGAGCACAGCCTGCAAACCAAATCAACAACTTGCCCCGATATATTCAAGTTTAGCAACATTCATTGACTATTAAAAATGACTGTTAAGAATGATCCATTTTTTGCCTTTAGAGTACCAAATTTTACATCTTTCAGGTCACATGGAAACAGTTTGAAAGGCTTAAAAATTTTATAAGTACCACAAAATGGATCAGAATTTTTCTAAAGTTACAGAAGAAATAAGAGAACAGACATCTAGTGTTCTTCCTTCAAAGGTTTTGGCTTGTAGGTTGCTAGCTTAGGGTACCTCAGCTCATCCAAACTAGTATTATTGCCTGAAAAGCTAGCCTTTGATGAAAGCTTACCTAACAATAAAAACCAAACATACAAAAAAACCCAACACACAAACACTTACTTACTTGTTCTACATACTTTTACTGAATATGAATGCTTTAGATCTTCATGAATTTCTATCACAGCTTAATAAAATTAAGTGTTGTTCAAACTAAATTCCAACAACCAGGAAAGAAAGTTGCATACCTTCAGACATCTCTTGCCCTCCTTCATTGATATCTCTTGCCCTTCCTCACTGCATCTTTGACCACATCATATGGGGAGCTTTTGGTATCAGAAGTTTTGTGTTGCCTGGCTTCCTGAAGAGCTCTCTGTGTAGGACCTTCCAACCCTTTCTTCCTTTCAAGTTCCTGGCCTGCTATAAAATATATGGATATAATAGAAGCCTCTTAATATTAACCGGAGATGAAAACAACAGAAATTATGCCACAATACAATATCCAAGGTTATTGAGCCATGCATGTAACCTATTTCAGGACTACATAAAAGTAACTTGTGGAGAAGAATTGTATGTGATCTGCTAAAGCAGAACACTGCATGAACATTATATTTGTAGTTAAAAGGAACACAGGGAAGGGTACAGATCCCATTTGGATCTACTACTACAAAAAGAAAAGATATTCTAGGTGGCAGGTTGGCCAGCTCCAAGGTACTTAGAGAGATCACAAGGGACTCTAGCTATCTCCTGAGTGGTGTCTGCCATGTTATGCAGACCTATAGGAAAAGAATGGAGCACTAAATTCCAGTTGCGGTTGAACACATACATCCCTATACACTTTAGACTGTATATATATACACACACTATTATACTCTTGTATAATAGTATATAGAGACTATAGGCTTTAGACTATAGACTTAAGTCTCAAATTGGAAAACATTGTATATAGTTAAAAATCCTCGACTAAAGCAAACAAGACTTCACACTGCATCTGCAAGTGCTCACTCTTTTAGAATCAAGTTTTAAGACCTGGGCCACAAAATCCAAACTTTCAGTGGAAGGTTTTTTTGTTTTACTCAAAGCCAAAAATTACAGATCTAACAAGCACAGTCTCCTGTGCAACCCAAATGAAAACTGTAACTGATAGAGAACTGTGCCTGGTCTAACAAATTAGGCTTATTCTCATCGTTAAACAGAGTTTACAGCTGCTCTTGCAGACACTCTAAATAACCTTTTTTTTCCTGAAGAACTGCACACTGAAAACTATTTGATATGTCAAATATTTTCTTCAGTAACTGCTAGCTGCAGAACACCAAGCTTGAGCTTCATACTCACAAGCCATCACTATGACAGTTGAAAAGGTTAAAAAGCCAAAACAGTTCTAAGAGAGACTAAATTGTAAAACACTGTTGTAACTGCACTAAGATGTCAACAGCTTGCGTTCTCAGATTTTCTATCCCGGTTGCATTGTAGCTGGAACAGGATCAACCAGGTTTAAATACTAGAACTAGTGCCTTTCAGATATCATGTCTCATGACCTTCTGATAGCAATTACATTAGATCACAGAAATGGAAAGCACAGCTAACAGGCTTAACAAGGAGTTAATTCAACCATGAGGAAAGAAACTCATTGGGTTCAACTTTCAAATATAATTTGGTAATAAACAGCTGTTATTTGTAGAGAAAGAGAAATGTACTAACAATTTTACAACATGTTTTCACAATCAGTTTTTATATCAGTGCTCAGGTATGCAAATAAACCACAAAATTACTTGATTGCAAGCAAAAGCAGGTTTTTGAGCATTAACTAACAGTGTCTTGCTTCATAAGCTAAGATGTAAATTAAATGCTTTGTTGGTATAAACTAGGGATCTAAAATTTCAGTGATTTGCCTTTGATAACATGCCTCTATGTATCATCCTGCTACTGCTTTAGGTAGAATGAGATTAAAAACAGCATTTTCATACACAAGCACCCAATCTTTTATAATTCTTATAAAAAAAGAAAAAAGGATGTCCTGGACCTCATCGTCACTATTCAAAACCCCAAGCTGCTGAACAAACCCTAAGTGAAAGCCACTTTCAGTGCCTTGCAGCCCAACCCAGTGTTGTGGGATCTGCAGTCAAGGGGAGAGTGGGAGCAGCAGCAGCAGAGGAAGCAGCGATGGGCCAGCTCCTGCTCTCAGCAGCTCCTGGGCACAGGGGCATTCTCATTCTTCCCTACCCTGTGAAGCAGAGAGCTGACTAGAAAAGGCATCTTCCCTTGGCAAACAACTTGGCAAGCTGAATGCTCATTATCTTTTAACTAATGTACTCATGTATGAAAGTGAGATGGTCAGTCCTGAGAAGGCAACAGGGGAAACAAGGGTGGCTTACAGGACTTTTAAGTCTAATATTGGTTCCTCTCAAGCTACAAACATGTTTACAGAAAAATGTAGCAAACATTTCTCCGGTGTTTATGCACTGCTTGTTTCCCAAGGTTTCAATTACCTTGTCTCATGAATAAGAATTCAAGAGGCAACAAAACACTACCATCTTTCAAGCGGCAGCACAATGTACCTGACTAAGAGACAGTATCACCCACAGAGACATGAGTATGACCTACAGAGTGCAATAAAAATTATGCACTATGAGAAGACATGGTACTATAAAGAAATAAACTGAAATACCACTTGATTTGTGATACACATGGCATGAGGCAAATTAAGGCTTGTAGAAGCACATGGGTGGCTGATGAGCTTAATAATTTGTGCTGGAGACTAAGTGATTTTTTTTTTATTTATAAGTGCTCCCTTGCTTGTCACTTTTTGGCGTTATAAAGAACTCTCAAGGTTTTTGGAGAATAAACAAGTACTGAGAACAGCCGGAGAGTGTTTTTTTCGAATCACTCAACAAATGAAAGTATGCGTAACACAAGAGAGACAGATGGGGCATCTATAATGTAAAACACTAGCACAGGAGAAGAACCCACACTATATATCCCTAAGCCAGAGCACAAAGAAAAGTTGAATGCAATACATTCTTCTCCTAGACTAGCGAAATAAAAAGCCCATTCTCTACCTTCTTGTCTGCAACATGAAGAAAATGAGCACTGTGCTCTTCACTACAGCAGAGGTTTACACTTTCTGTTGTAACAAGACTTACACTTCTGCAGAGCATTACCAGCAGGCACAGCCACAAAAAGACATGTTTTGGGTCACTGAAGTGTGCCTGGCTGTAGAGCACAGTGCTAATTTCTAGAAAAAGGCAGAATTCAAAACCAGAACAAACACTGAAGAGAATAAATACTGCCAGTTCTTCAGTGCTTCACTGTATTTAGCTCTGAAAGTATAAATAGTGGGGGCAATGTTAGATCAGTAGCTTTATTTTTTGTACACAAAAAAATCAGAGCTTAGTTTCTACTGGGCAGGGCTTCAGAAGCATTCCAACTCCTTAGAAGAATTAGAGTAGCTATGCTCTTAACTAAAACACCACATGTCCTCCAAGAGGGGCAGGGTTTGCTGTACCATGTATTAAACTTGGTTCTCTATCAGACTGCCAAGGCAAATGTACAGCAAAGTCAAAAGACACCTCTGCTATAAATCCTCCACTGCTGCATGGTAGCCAAGAGGGGCAGCATCTTTCAGACAATTAGACCTCAATTATATCAACTGAATGTACATTAGTGATAGGCAAGCAGTTGCAGACATCAGAATGACAGCTAAACGTCTTCATTAAATGGGTCATTCTAACAGCCAGGAAAAAGCTGTTCTCTTCACTCAACTGCAAGTATTAAAAACTATAATTTAAGTGGCTGTTTTTTTTTCCCCTGGACTTGCTTTTTATACAGGAATTTTATACAACAGAAGTAAATCCAGGTAGTGTTGGATCTAATGAAGCTTGTCACAAGTTTGTCACTCAGAGGCTTTTTATCCAAGTGTTCTACTATTGTAGCAGAACTGTTGGCCTTTCAACACACTAGGAAAAACACGTTAAATTCAAGTATCCCAATTGCAAGAAATGCTTCATCTCAAATTTGCTTTATATTAGATACCTGCCTGGTCACCTATCAAAAGTAATCAAACCAATCAAAACTAGGAAACAGGTTCAAAAATCATTAGATGCAAGAATAATGCAATGCTGGGGTTTTGAGGATAAAGAAAAATTTAATACACATGTATTCAGCACACCAGGGAGTAGTGTCATACCATAGAGAAAAAGACCACTAAGAGAACATTAGTGGACAATAAAAGAAAATCAGGCCCCAAACAGGTTTTCAGGATAAAGTCCTTCCACTCTTACTCATGCATTCCATACTGTCATAAGCAACTCACCCATGGACACAGATATGTCAATACGTGTTAGAATATTCGTGGGAATTACTGGCACCCAAAAGACTGCTGATAAAATATTTATGGGGCAAGTGTTGCTAATTTACCATTAAAGCACACAAATTCACAACAAGAAACCATAACTAGTATGAATTTAACAATATTTTACCTTTTGCCACAGGATTCTGTCCAGACTCTAAATTTTGTAGTGCAGCTTGTAAACCTGTAATCTAACATAAAAAAAAGAAAAAGAACAGGCAGTATGAAAACTTTGCTTTTTTATTTTCTGTTCACAACACACTTATATCTGCACATTTAACTACCAGGATTTACATTTGAGTGTCCTGATCATTATTTCTAATGAAGTTGCAAATATTCCTAACTCTAGATTTTGGAAATGCCCAGTAAAACCATGTGATTAACATAAGCCATCTAGAATTTCTCAGAAATACTTTTACAGCTCTTAAAACAATGCAGACATACACAGCGGATCATAAGGATCATATTGTGCCATCAGCTTTTACCACTGTTGTCACTAAACTAATCCTTAGCTCAATGGTAATGACATAGTTCTGTCTTAATAAAATGCCACAAAATATGGTGCTTTGAGTTACCCAACAGCCTTCACTCCAAAGTGTTTATAGTTCATAACTAGATAGATCTTACATAAGCTCCTGAAATCTCATAGTATTGGGAACAACTTGGAAAGCTGTTTCATGTTTTTCATTCTTGATTCAGCATAAGTGTATATGGACAGTAACCTCTTCCTCTAGGACATTTTCTTTCACTTATTTCAATATCAAACATATACTTCTCAGTCTTTTCAAAGTAAGCCCTCAGGTGACCTAAGCAAAATTGGAGGCAGAGGAAAGAAAGAAATGAGAGATGAGGGCTATTAGATGAGAGAGAACAAGCTCCATGCCTTTCATGTTACCCACATAAAGCTGACACAACTGCTGAAATGCAATGCATTTGGCAAGACGCACTTTTTTTTTCATTTTTTTAAACAAATAACCTATTGGTTATACACATGAAAGCTAGTTTTCTGTTCTTCATCTATCCCATCTCTGCTTAGAGTACTTTCTGCTAGAGGGGCAGAAAGTCACATACAACAGCCTATACATCAGGTAGGTTTTGCTCTTGTAATCTTATACTGCTCAGAGGACAGAAGAGCTGTGCCTGACTAGTTTTATAAAGGTAATATAAATATCATTCCTGGCTATATTTAGGAAAAAATTCAGAAAAAAATCAGAAAAATAGTAATAAATACCAAAATCAGCAAGCTTCTATAGACATAGGTAGACATGTACTAACCCACAGGAATATCACACCTTTCCTTGAACTGTTGACACTGATAGTTGTACGAGAAAATCTGCACATTACCTGATCAGTGTCACTACACAAGTCAAAGGCTAAGTATCACCAACTTGATAAAATTTTCACATTAAAGTTTTATCAAGTAACAAAAAGCCAATTAAAATGTTCTGCTTAAAACTACAGCATAAGGAGTAAATCGTTTCATGAGAAGTTACTTGTTTATTCAACAAAGTATTTAACAAAAACATTCCATATGGCTTAGCAGGTGTTGTTCACCATAATTTTACCTGCCCAACTGCTCTATCTCTCTCCAAATTAGTCAACATTTTCTGTCTCAGTGTAGTTTGATATTTTTCAGTCAGATGCTTCAGCACTGGTTCATATGATGCATAATGAGTCTTCAGCCTATGAAGGAAAAAGGAAAATGCTTCTTAAGAAATCAGTTAAACTTGTCTATATAACCTTTATTTCTGTATCTAGCATTCAGAAAAAGTGCCAAAGGTTAACACAGACAAGAGTGAAAGCTAGTATGCCGCCATCCAACTGAAGCACTGAGAGAAAAAAGAGCAGTAAAGGGATTTAGTTTCTTCAGCTTTTAAAAACAGGCCATTCGATTTTGCTTTCAGTTCTCATCCTTCATCTCTCCATCCATCACATACATAATACACAGTAATTCTCAGTAATCTGTTTTCTTCTGGCAGATGGATGATACTTCATTGAGAGAAAGATTTATAATTATCTGACTACCAACTAGGATTCTGATCAAGGAAAAGATGTAATATTTTTAACTGCACATTCAGAGCACCTAAGTGACTAATTCTTTAAGCTAACCAAAACTCAGACTTTCTGCAGTATCTCTCAAAAGAAATTCACTTTTACCTTTTACCTACCTAGCCCAGTGACCTTCAGACAGGCAATACACAAGTTCTACTTGGGAAAGGTACAACACTTGGAAAATTCAGAATACAAGAGTGATAACATTTTAGAATTACAAATTTCAGAGTTTTAAAGGTCCAATTAGCTAATTGGACCTTATTTCACCAAAAGTCTAAAAGGAAGTTAACCAGAGGAAGTTCAGGATGTGGAAGTACAGAGAACACCATTTAAAGGAATCATGACCATAAAGTTTCTGAACTCAGTAGGATACAAATTTCCATTATAACTGATAGAGATCTAAAACCCAGAATTCAATTAAGGCCAAAGACCAGGGGACAGGGAAAATTAATCCATATTTTTGGCTGAGACTATATACTATATTAATAATACACTACCCCATTCAAAATATGAAAAACAAAAATCATTTAAAAATATTTCTGGGACAGTCATGTGGAACTTCATTATGAAGACACTAGCTAAAATGCAGGTAGCTTTATTTGAGCACTTTGCATATTTGTTATCTCATTCCCAGGCAAAAACTCAAGGTATCTTTATTTTTACACTTGATAATAAAAAAGTTTTTACCTTTTAATGTCACAAATAAGTCTGCTTTTCTCTTGGACCACTCGCTTATGATGCATTCGATGAAAGTCACGTTCTTTCTGCATTTTTAGGAGAGCCTCTTTTGCTTTGCTACAGAAACAGAAAATGTAGGAGAACATTATTTGGCTTTCCTTACTACTTGCTCTTCCAGGTTAAAGTTGTACATATAGAATCGACTTACAGATATGCATATGCCCACCGTAACCAAGTTGGATAGTATCCAAGTTTGGTAGTATCCCCTGTAGTAAACAAGTACTTTCGAGGTCTTTTTGCTACCAACTCAGAGTAGATGCTTTTCACCATCACTGTTCATCAGTTCCTTTACAGAGGATCCATAGGAATTTAGGCATTATACATCTCAAGACAACAGAGACCAATCATATTTTAGAGATGTGGACCTTGTAGAGGTACCTATTCAAATTACAATTTACTAGAAAATGCTTGTTGAGGATTTGAAGCTTTGCTAAAAATGTTTTGCAAAACTGAGTTTCCAAAGTAAACATCAGCTCTGAAATCCAGCATTGTCACATGATGGGATATCACACAGGACAACTGTGATTACCTTGCAAACATGCCTTTAGAGAGCTTCTGGGAAAAAAATGCAATAAAAAATCTGCAGTTCTAGTAGATCAAGCTGCAAGCTTTTCCCCAGGTGTTATCTTCAACATTTTTCAGCAGAATGGAAAAGGAAACAATTTCACAGTTCACAGCAAATACACTGGTTCCCTATTGTTCTCTAAACATATTCCACAGAGAACCAAGGGACACTGAGATACTCTGTCCCATAAAAAGTCCAGCATATATTTAATAAACAGATTCTCCTTCCCTTTACTGATGCAGGTTTGGAAAGCAAGATCAGTAAAAGAATTGTTCACTTACAAAGGATGCTTACAATTACCTTGCAAAGAAACTTGATATTTCTTCTCTGGAAAAATGAACACCACTTCCTCTTCAAAAAGCATTAGAAAAATAACTGACAGTGCAGTATGACAAAAATACAGGTCCAGGAGAGGTACCCATAGATGCTATCATACTCTATTTAATAATATAAATATTTAGTATTTACTATAATATACGCTATGTTTACTGCCTATACAAACTAGCATACTTAGTCATGTAAGTTTGTATGTGAATTGTTGCCTGTAGCAAGAACAGCTGGAAGACTTTAAAGCAGCACAGTGAATTTAATGCCACTGTTTATCAGAGCTCTGAGGAAAAAACATCAGGGAAATGAAAATAGGCAGAGTTGTCCCCACAGTAACTCACAAAAAAACCTGCAGGCATGCAAAAACCTGGGTATGTGTGCACAAATATCAAAGGTCTTTTAGGGCAGATTTTCAAAGGTCTAAGATTTGTCTTGTTCCCTTTGAATTTAAACGAGTTTTGCTTAGATACCATTTAGTAAGAAGTTGGCCAAATATACCACATAACAGGAAAGATGCATTTAAAAATTGTGCACAAAAGCTGCGCACTTGTTCATGGTAGAAAAGAGTAAATATGTGCAGGCACAGGCAGATTTTGGTACTGAAGTAGGAGGTTAACTAAAGATTTTTATGGCTGGTGATAGCAGTAACTGTAGCAATAAACACAATTGCTAAGAATGTTTTATATTTTTACTGTTACTGCCGTTGTAAACTGGTACATATTTGTGCACACACTTATAAAAATCAGGATAGAAGAACACCTGTAAATATTTAAACTTTCCTAAATGATGTTTAAAATGGGTTAAAATCCTCAGCCTGAAGTTCTGTACTATTTTCATTAATCTACATAATAAATTCCTACCCGTTTAAAGAATTTAATCTCAGTTACCAGCCCCTGTAATCTTAAACCTGATATACCATTAGGTTGTCTCCAAGCACACTATTAAAAAAAGGTACATATTATATGGCTATAAAAAAGAGCAAAATATATGGTATTCAAGGCATTTTCAATCAGATAAGCAGTTTAATATGGCTATAAAATTATAATTCATTATCCAACTGATAAGCAAATATTACAGAATATTAAATCCTTAAATGACAAATCATTAAGGAAGACACATTACACTGATTTAATAAGCTAAGAATCTTATCCCTCTACCTACACTAGTTAACTAGTCTACTGTAACAGACAGCAACTTTCAGAAGTAGCATTTTCCAGTTTATCCAGTATTGGAAATTATATTCTAGTATTTCAGCAGACAATCAGATTCCTACTAAATAGGAGGGCAAAACTTAGGGGATATTTTTTCTAAGCATTGCTATATTGCCAAACAATACAAATTGGTTTTGATTCCTAGCACAATTTTTAAAAATATTTTAAATAATTAGTAATACATCTAAACTTTACCATAGTAACTACCACTAGCTTTGGAGTAAAAGCATTGCGCTGTTAATTATTTCTCTTTAAGCACCTTTTCCTACTTATTTTGTCATTCCTCAAGTCTCCTGCAGACATTAGACAACCTACTCAAAATGTACACTCATTGTATACAGGAAACCAAGCTAACTACAAGTCTCTAAATGAAAAATAATGACATTTCCTCAATAGTCTGCAATCTATTCAATTTGCCTATCTGCTATACAACCATGCAAATAATGTTCAAATTATTCAAAAAGTTCTAGACTCTGAATCTTTTCTGTCAACTGTTAAACATTAAAGCAGGAGGTAAAAGGTTTGTAATCATTTTATCTGGGTCCTCATCCTGCTTAATTCAAACACATCTCTTCAGCAAAATAGTTGTCAAGAAAGCAAGCTCAGAAATACCTCAAGTAATTAAAAGTTGTTTTCAAATACAGTGCTGTGAATTGTATCTCACCATTAAAGTTTTGTGACTGATGCAAAGAGTCAAATATGGGGTTTGATCAGAAGTTATTTTCTCATCAATTTTCGCCATTTTGTTTCAACTGTGAACTAATGAATTCTCATAACACTTGAAAACCCAAGTTGTCCTTGAGGTAATTTTGGCTCCTGCTAGAATATTTTCTTTACAATACCAAGGGTATCAACTCCACTTATTCCATATATGAACAACAAAAACACTTTTATCACTATATAAAAATAAATGGATTTAGTAAAAGGCAGTGCAGCCTGGGTTGATCCAAATGACAAGCAAATAGTCTAACTTCAGCACACGGACAGTAGAACCATTCAGCTTCATCCACAGTACAGCAGCACTTTCTTAATTCAGAAAGCTTTCCTAACAGTAAGTGAAAATAATAACACAAGCGCTTAACTTGAGCCATTATTATTGGCAAGTTTTTTCAAAAGTGTTTTAAATCTAATATTCAAAAATTAAGTAAAAACCATTATCACAACCCAAGTTTCACTACTACGTACATTCCATAGTAAAATCAGGAGAATGACTAAAAACAGTGAAGACAGACATTGTAACAAATATTTGAATGAGGTACATGCAAAGCACAGTACCTAATATTAAAGGCTAAAAAACTTAATCCACTTTCCAATTCTCGTATGTATTATACACAAAGTCCCTGCATCTCATATGCAGGGGGAAGGAGGGAAGAGATCCATTGTCCAAAAAGAAGGAAAATAAGAGAATATTTTCTGAACAGTCCAATTCAAAGTATACCCAGTATGACTTTTTAAATTGTACAGCATTGGAACAGATGATTGTGAAAGCTTTTACATAAATATTAAAATAAATTATATTATCATTTTAAAGTTGCTTTTTCTGCTAATCAAAAATAACTATAGTTATTACCTGAGAGATTCAGTATACCAGATGAATATCCCTTTTAAGAACTGCATAAACACACAATTTTCAGAGAGGAACAGTTTAATGAAGATTAACGGCTTGAGCAAACTTGAGAAAAATCAATTGGAGTTACTTATTTTTTAAAAAGAGGTCCACATTTTAAAACTATTTTAAAACTATGTAGAGAGGAACAGTTTAATGAAGATTAACAGCTTGAGCAAACTTGAGAAAAATCAGTTGGAGTTACTTATCTTTTAAAGAGGTCCACATTTTAAAACTATTCTAAAACTATGTCCCCAGTAAAATCAAAATGAGCCCATTTTGATTTACCCTGAGATTTACCCTGAAAGAATACACATGCAGAGGCACTGTTCTTCAGAAAAGACTGTTATATGTAGTTCATTACTGCATTCCTCTCATATAAACTCAAGATTTCAACTCTCATGCATCTAGTAAAATTGACTCCTGTAAAATCAGCTACTGAAATGCACACGCTATAGTCAATACTAGACTGAATTACACATTACACTACAGTACTGAATTACACTCATACTGTTGAACACTAGGGCCTGAAAGCAATAGGTTATTTGCATTTTTAAAAACTGCAGAGTAAGTTCTTTTTTCACAATGCATGCTAATGTTGAGGTAGCTATAATGTACAGTACTTTAATTTTAATACAAATGTTTGTAATTATTTTCCACTTCAGCATATTATATTCTCATAGTTTTTATAGTAGCTTGTTGTGATAGCTAAATTTTGAATGTTATCATCTATAGTATACTAAAGAAAAAACATCCAGCCTTACATTTCTAGTTTCTAAATTTTAAAAGCAGTACCCACCCAGGAATAAAAATATGCATAACATCCAGAAGTAGAAATATGCATAGTCAGCATACAAAAGAGAAACTATTTTCCTTAAGTACCTGTGTTTACTTTGAGTCATTTACTACTTTATATGAAAGTTTCATTAATACATTAATTAACATACTTAGCAGCAAGCTTATAGTTTTCCAAATCCTTCTTCAAATGCATATTCTCCATCTCCAGCTCCTGGTTGCGGGTATACACACTTGGAACCAGTCCAGTGTCTTTGGCTGAGAGCACACCTCGCTGGATCAGCTCATACCTGATACAAAATCAACAGAGATGTTTTAGGCCATGTTGCTTATTTGCAGTTCAGTGATATCTCCCCTCCCAGCCTAACATTTACATTAAAATCACAAAGGCATTTTCCAAGTCAGGGAAATTACACTTTTTTTTTTTTATAGTCATTAAGAATTAACTGTGGTATCCTCCCACTACAGGGGGCTGTATTTTATCCTTTTCCATTCTAAATTATATCTGTATTGTTGCTAGCAGTCAAGTGACATATCATGCATAACACATTCAATTTTAACTGGCTTTTCCCTTCTTTCTTCCAAATTGTCTACATAAGACACAAGATAATTCTCAAACATTTTAACCTTGATGATAGACAAAATCCTTTTTAAATATTCAAATATATGCAAGATTTTTTTATTGAGTTTAAGACAAAGCTGTGGATAACCTGCACAAATGATCCCATGAGGTCTTTAAACATGGAATTCAGAGTTCACTTAGTAAAAATGCTTCATTCCTTCCATAAAGCTTTGCAAATAAGAAACACCATTTTCACAATCCTAATAACTTATCAAACAGCTGTTGCTGATGTTGCACTCTCCTTATGTAACAATATTTACCACTATTTCCCAAATTATTTTACCAATCCCTGCAAATACCAGATTCTGTCTTGAAGGCTGTTTTTATTAAATATTCATCTAGATTAACTTGCCCTTTGATAACTAAAGGCCATGTATTCTGTAGAGCAATCCAGGAATCTTAATCCTTCTGGCAACAGAGTCTACTCAGTTACAGTCTCATACCTTTTGAGACCATTCTTTTGTTGAGAGATGTCAACAAATACTCTAGCAGGCATTGCAAGACACAGGTACTGCCACAATTCATTTCAGGCTTCTTAATTTAAAGCTATTTAAGGAGAAACTAAGGCACAGAAATATCCTCCAGATGTTGAGAAAAAGGCAGTATGAGAAAGAAGGTAACTTAAATGAGACAGAACTATCACTGCACAAAATGTTTTTGCATAATCCTGCTTGTTCAAGGAAAGAATATAAAACACCAGGACTTCACAAAATATTTAAAGGTACACCAAGATTCCAACCTACACATATGGAAGATACTTAAGATGCCGCTGTGCAAGCAGGCATTGCCAAGGTGATTGCAGAATCCAGTATGGATACCTACACGTATGAAATGTGTGTTTCTTCATTTGCCTGTCCTGCAGGACAGGCAGGCAGCAACCTCAGCTGGCACAAGCCTTACAGATGCACTGAGGACAAAGAGGTGGTGCTCCATGTAGCCACAGAGCACAGGTTCTGGGGAGCTGTAAATAATTCATACTAGACAAAGATGAGGCCCACAGTCTTTTCCTGCTGATACTGAGCACTGCCAGAGGATGCTCTGTGTAGGAACTTACAAGAGGAATAATATGAACATTTGCCCTGTCAGAGGAAAATATATTCAATATGCACTTTTTTATTCCTCCAAGTAAAGCAAGAACAGTAGCAGAGAGAGTAATCACACCAAATGTTGTCTCCCATTCTAAGGCACAAGGACCATGCTTGAAGGTAAGTACAGCATTTATAAATCAATAAAACATTGCAGAAGCAGAGTTTTGTAAAATAAGCTACTGTGGACATAATTTTATGTATATAGCTAGAAATTCTAAGCTATAATTATAAAGCTATCTAGAAAATTATATATAGACTAGCTATTTCAGGAGTTAGACTCCAAGAAAGAATTAAGAGACTTATTTTATTCTTCAAAAAAATAAAGGAAAATGTTAGAGGCATTTATGTCCAAACGATTTCCTATAGTAAGCTGCTTACCTGAATGCTGTGGTCCATTTAGGAGGGTTCAGTCTCACTCAGCCACCAGACAATGATGGCATTTTGAAAGACTAAAATGAGTGCCTCCAAAACAAAACTGATTGTATCACATTTATTCTATAGCAGATTAGAGTAGTAATAGGCTTTCAGTACCAACAAAGAATCTTAGCCATTTATTTCCTGAACATTGACAGAGTTCATAACATTCCAATTGAAAATAGGGGCACTTTTCTTTGGAAACATTAATCAAATACTGTTTCGTCCTTTAATGATAATAAAATGCTAGGCAAAAGGAAAAGTATCAGAAAGAAATGGGAAGATTTGTGTTGAAAACTGCTCCAAGCAGTTTATTTATCAATGATCATTCTTACATATTCTTATACTCTTAAGATCTGCCTTTTTTAAAAAACATTAGGCAAGAAATTATCCTTTGTTTTAATTCAAGTTGAAATGTTCTTCTGAGGAAGAGGCAGGGGGACATTACTGAAGAAAATAATGTTTTACATGGACTTTTTTTCCCTACTTGAAAGTGATAAAGAATTCCTGCACATTACTCTGCCTTTTCTTCATATATTATTTTTCTCCACTTATGAGGTATAATTCAAAGTAGTTCTCCATTGTTATTCAAAAGGCCCAAATTGAGATGATTAAGGATGATACATTCAGAGTTATTGGTTAGGTGAAAATAACTCAAAGTTCCCACCATCTGAAATAGGGAGAAGAATAACTGATTACCTTACCACAGGCAGTCTCAGTGTCATCTATTACACCATTCTGTATTTTCTACGAGACTCTTAAAAATGAGGAAATCTCAAATGGAGCTAAGGGTCTCAGTCCCATTGACTTTTCTACTGGGACTAGCATTCATACATAAGGCTTTTCCTTGCAGAGTAAAACAGGATCCTCTGAGCATCCCCTGAGCAGGATGAATCCTGCAGCCTCAGGGACCCATCCAGCTGACACTTAAGAGTTCTGCTTGAAGCCACCCCTGCACTGCACCACCCTGTGTCAGAGGACTGGTTAGTTGGGATTATCAGCCATGAGGTACAGCTAAACCAAGCTGCTGGTAAGAACAAGCTCCAGCTGGTCATTTGGGTACACCTTAAGCATGCTTTTTCTTTACTCCTGGAACATGGAAGATGTTGTTAATGACACCAATAGTTGAAACTTGCCAGAGTTACAAGTAGATACTTTTCCAATTGTAAAAACTGCTGGGAAGTCATCTCTTACAATCTGCCAATCTGCATCTCCTTTGCATGTCATATCCGGACATATCTGCTGGCTTGTAGAGACTCAGTTGTGTAACAAAGCTTTCTCCTTTCTGGAAACTTTGTCTTTCCTGTAGCCTTGAAGCCACCACGAGACAACAATCCAACCTAACGCTAGAGAACTCTTGCTTTTTGTACCTACACAACTCACAGTAAGGACCAACAATCTAGACCAAGACGCTTTATTTTTCCAGGCTGGAAAAATGCTGGTTGTACCCACTAGGCTGCTGAAATTATCATCTACACAACTCACAGTAAGGACCAACAACAATCTAGTCCAAGATGCTTTATTTTTCCAGGCAGGTACACTATTGGTAAGTATGCTGGTTGTACCCACTAGGCTGCTGGAATTATCACGGAATCAAAAACTTAGCTAACACTAGCAATACTTTCAATCTATATCCTTCTTTTGCCAGAAAGATTTCTCCACTGAATGCCCTAACCCCATTTCATGAAATCTATCAACTTTCTGTACAAAGACACATCAGACACAGGTAATGGATGAAGTTAGCCTCCAGCAGAGCTAGAAATCTTGAAAGACAATTTTAATGAAATACAACTGATCCCCATAAATCCATCATGCACTAGTGTAAGAATATAACTAATGAATGTTTTTATGCATGCAGCAGAAATGGAGTAGAAAACTATACAAGAACACACTGTGGTATTTCATGACAATTCATCAAACTGGTCATGTAGGAATTGAATATACCTATCCAACTGCCAGAATTTTTCTCCCTTATTTCTGGTTTATAATGGAACTGTGATGCAAGTTATATTAGACCCATGCCCTTTTTCTAAGCCTTTCTTAACTATTACAATTCTTGTATTGACATTTAAGTTATCCAAGAATCCAGAAACTTCAGAGACAGATGGCCATCTATGATTTTAAGACCATAGCCCAGTGCAAACTGAATTAAACACTACACTGATTTCAAGTCTAAGCTCTAAATGAGTCAGGTTGCAGAGTGACCCTCCGATTAACCGTTGCATAGTTCAGGATAATCCTTCATCTAGGTATAACTCACTGGAAAGCATTCAGGGATTAAAACTTCTTACTCCAAGTGAGTTGTTTCAACTGATAACCTTGTAGTCTCAAGAACAGACCAAGAGCGAGCACAGGAAAACTGCTTTTTCACTGTAGGGTATTCTTTCAATCTATTATTATGGCATATAAGTAGAAAGCTGGTGGTATTATGCTGAGCTTGCTCAGTAGGCAAGTGACTTTTGCAGAATTGGATTAAGGCACAAAAGATCCAAATTTCAGTCTACTGTAGCATCCTAACATATTTCCCAATAAATAAAAGAAAATGTGTATTTCTGCAATTAAGTGAAAACTTACATGCCTAACATGTTACTCATTGCTCAATATTAGAAAACATTGTTTGCTCCTGATCTGAACTACACAAAGTACATACTGCAGTTCAAAGTGCTTTGAAATACACACTGATAGACACACATACAGACATGTCTGGATAACAAGCATGACAAAAACCACAATGGGATCTTTTTAATTACTTCCCAAAAGAAACCATCATCTTACCCTCCCACACACCTTATCTCTGTAGATGCCCACTTTGAATGATGCCTAGCACTAGCAGCAACACAAAGTGTGCCTGGCTTCCTGAAGCAAACTTGCGTTTCCTTCATTTGTGGCTCCAAGCCAAAACTGTATCTATGTTTGAACAGTGCTGTTCAAGAACTAATAGCTAATCATATTTTCTCTCAGAATTTATGAACTCAAGACCTATATCATGCATTAATGTTTTTACATGATATCCAGACAAGAGAGGACCACTGAAAGCTTAAGTCTTTCTCAAATAAGCAGATCCATTGACCTCAAAGTTATGATACAAAAGCTTACAACTTCTATACTTGTTCTTAATTTCTACAAAAAGATTTTTCTTTTATAATGGATCCACCTCTATACTCCAAGAGGCCACATGCAAGGAAATGACCTATTTGTGTAACCTGCACATGAAGCAAAGCTATGACATACCTTGCATGAGCATTTAAGCCCATGTATGATTTTAAACACAAAGAAATTCTTTAGAATGTTTGTTAGAGTCTGCCAATCACCTTGCACTCAGATTTAAATCTAGCCAGGTCTCTGGGAACACTTAGCCAGAAATCATCAGTCAAGTTTACCAGCTAAACACAGTGATAACTCCATACATGTGTCAACAGCAAACAATTCATCTGCTCATCCAACTGACAACATGCTGCCAGCAGCAGTGAGCTCTGTGGGATTATGGGGACTGACAGATACATAAATTCACAGTTGATCAGCCCTTGCACTTCATACTCCAGAGCTGTCAAACCAGTACCTTTAATAAGGAACAAAAGCCCTAGAGCCCTTGCACATCAAAGGAATAGAAAAATGTAATGGTAGGATAGATATTCTGAAAATATCTTAAGTTCGATTTTAAATTCCTTGGAGTGTAAGTGGAAGAAAAATAATACTCTGTGCAAAAGAAACTATACAGTTGAAAAAAACATAGCAAATATGATGAAATTCATTATAACAGAAAGAATAAACTTGTCAGAGTAGAATACCATCAAATCATGACTTCCATACAGCTAGACAGAATACTTGAATAGAATCAGTTTTCTCAAACTCTGAAATAAACACAGATAATTTGGTCCAATTTAAGTGACCTTTAGCTCCAAGATAGACAAGTGCATCAAAGGAGGCCTTTTGATAAATTCTCTCTACATTAATTTCTCATTTTAAATTCCATTAGTATTTGATCACCACAGCATGACAAAGACAGGTATCCCTATACAGAATGAGGAATCTGAGTACACTAATCTGCTCTCCTTAACATTGTAAATTATATATTTCAAACCAACATGAAACATTTTAAATGAGGCATTAGCACAGAAAAGTCTTAATGTGATAAGATTAGATCCTGACATGCTGAGCTTGTGTAATGCTACTAAAGTTAAAACTATTACCTATTTGGGAAGAAATATTTGTATAACTAAGGAGTTAGAAGACAGATCCTCAATAGGACATCCTCTTACTCTGTTATCAAACGATTGTAATTTTGCATTAGCATAAATTCAAACAGCCACTTCTTCCAAGGAAGCTGCAGTTTCATGTAAAGGTTGCAGTTGATACCATATTTTATATCTTTACCCATAAAATCTTCTTCAGACTTTATGCTATACATCTAAGTTTCATAAAAAGCTAGAACTATAGTACTCTTTCTATAAGAGAGTGCTTTAGTTGCATTGTTACTATGTAAAAAATGTGATCATTATCAATTCCAGAGACAATGCCCAACTGGTAATTCCTACACTAAAATGACCCAAGTCTTACAGCTGGCATCAATGACTACAGAATCCTTTTAAGGATTAGAGACTTCAAGATTCAAACATGTTTCAGTAGAAAAACTTTCTGATTTCAGAATATTTGGTAATTAATCTCCAAAAGCCCAAATCCAAAACTATTCTTGTTTAAAGACTGACTACAAATTCAAAGAGATGCTGTCACTTTTTAGCACCTTTCCAAAGTAACTGATATATTCAAAGAAAGTTTGTAAACAACAACAAAAAAAAAATCAATAGAACTTTATGACAAAGATAATTTTGCTCTGCAATAATTCACTTCTCAATTTTCATGCCCATAGCAGTTACTCCTTAATCTTTATTATTACAAAGTATACATAAACTTGTGGAAGTTCCTATACAAAGTGGTGACAGAAGGTGCATATGTAGATGTGGATGTAATTTAATCTCTTGTGTAAATTTAGCACTAAGAAAATCTCCTTAATCTATAAAAACAGGGAAAAATGAAACAGGAACAGCACAGGAATGCTCTGATTATAGAATGATTTATATTTAAAAAAACGAAATTAAGAGAAATTATAAATGATCCTTCGCCAAAGTGACAAGAGCTCCTGGGATTCAGATACATTTATTCTTTTGGTCAAATACTACCTATTTAAGACCTATTACCACAAACTCCCAAAGTACCTATCACCACAAAACTCTCAAAGTTTTGTGGTAATACATCTGCATATATTTGCGTCCTGAGCTTCTATTAGCTAATTGTAAAGGACAGTCACTTCAAATATTTTACCATTCAGTTTGGAAGCAATCCAAGGTTCTGGACATTCCCAGTCTGACCAGGAAGTTGCAAAGAAAGTCATCCACAGCTTCAGGTACTTCAGACACAGATTTCTCAGACAATAGAACTGACTGCGATGCCTGAAAAAGATTTAATAATGGTTAATAAACCTACCAGAGAAATACAGCTATCATTACTTCTACAATATAAAAAATCAGATCTATTGCAGCACAGCAATAGTACATCCTAGTACAATCTAGTACATCCTAGTGTCAAGGTTTGTGGAAAGTTTACAGAAATTACTCAAAGATCAATCTGATTTAAGCAAGTATTCCCATTCTGACAATCTGGTAGGTACTCAAAACTACTTAACTGATGATCATCTGACAGAAAGCAGAGAAAATGTTACTTCTACTCCTGCATAGCTCAGCAACCTTCAAAATCATTGATGAGGAAATGCTACTTCAATAAATGAAAGATGCAGCACTTCAAGGCAACGGTAAATGGCTTATATTCTTTTTATAAGGACACCTGCAACTTAGAAGGAAAGAACTGCAGCTTGCTCAGACTTCTAGCTTCAGAAATTCTATTTCTCCCTTTTCTTAACATCCATGTGCAGGCACAGAATGAAGCTGTCAGACAACACTGCTACAAGTGCTAGCAGAATGCAGATGGCACACTAAGGCCTCACTCAGCTACTGTGGTGCCACCAAGATAGACAGCTATTCAGAGGTTAGCTCATGGGTCAAGAATAACTGCCAAAATCAGAATCAAAACAAAACACAGCAGTGTTACTAAACAGAAAAATCCCTTTCAGAGCTTTCTGTTGCCATGTAACTTTTCCTTTCCCAAACCTATGTAGTGCAAAACTTGATATCAAGCTCTCAGCAAGGCTTCCAGAGTTTCAGGAAGGTATGAAACAGTATGACCCATGCTGACACCTGCCTCTCAGAGATTTAAAGGCAACCACATGAGACTCTGCTCTGACTTGGCACCCAAAGAGATGGCCCTAAGTCATTCAGGCTTCAAATGGATTACACCATATACCTAGTAAAGCCTCAGAATTTAGGACCACCATATAGGACACAATGCCACGAGGCACTTGCTCCACAGCACAGGGCACTAAAACAAGATACTCCAGCACACACTGCATCAAATCACTTGATGCATTACTAGAAGAAACTCTGATGCTATGATAGTGTGCTACATACTGGTTAAAAATAACATACTCCAGAGAAAGAAGCAGAAAACATTTCTACACATGCATTTCTTGTCCTGATTTCAATATAAGAAAACTGGGATAAAAATCTGTCCAAGATTCGGCAAGATATGCTAAAGGAGTAAGTGCAAGTTATTTGTAAAATCCACTTAAAGAATCTGTGGGCCAGGGATTTTTGAAAACTCTATCCATCTGTGGCTTATTGACACCCTTACCCAGAGCCCTACCAATATAACTGCAGAAATTACCTGGATATCAAGGCATTTCTCTTCATAAAACACAGCGTTCCCTGTACTGGAAAACCCCATAGCTATTTTATATAATACATTAAGTAATGTTTAAACCAAACAATCTATTTAATATAAACAGAACAAATTGCACATGAAAGACCAAGTCCAGTAGCACCTTTATGAATAATGTCAAGTACAGTGCAATATTTAGCATATTTTCATTACTAGAGATATTGTACATTAGGCAGGCCTATTTTTTAATTGTGGCAATAGAGGAACCATATAGAATACACCTGCACACACATAGCTTCATTCCTTCTGCATCTCTTCTGCCTTTTTTTTTTTTTAAATGAGGCAAATGTCTATTATTGCTGCAGTTTCCCAACAACACTCAGAAAGCCAGTCTTCAGAAGTGACACAGCTTGATTTCCTTAAAAAAGGAAATACAAGAACTCATTTAATACATACAAAAGAGAATTTATTATCTAGACACTAGCACTGATAGTCATTTCAGAAACTGAAACTTGAACAGAAAAAAGTATACGGAAAAGATGAGTGAAATCTCATGGTCACATTAGTAGAACAGGGCTCCAGGAAACCCGAATTAAATTCCTAGCTCTGTTGCAGCCTTCTTGAAACACGCTGGGCCAACCACATTAACACAATCTTAGAGCTGACTACCCAACTAAGAGGGTAACATCTTTTCATGTACTTACCTAACTACAAATAATGAAAATTTATTCATGATGCAATCCCATAATCCTATAACTACTATGTTTATGTAGACAGTATATATCATGTAGTCGAAGTAAATACATTTAATATTTGCTTTGTTAAATATGCCTTTGTTAAATATTTTTGATTTAAAACATCCATAAGATGATGCATGACAAGTGCAAATACACTCAATAATCACTAAGACTATAAGCCAAGCACTTCCACAGTGTTTCAAAAAAATTGTCCAATGAACAAAGATTAAAGGTCAAACAAGATATTAACTTGCTTGAAAACAAAACTGCACAGTCCCTAAAAGGAATTCAAAAAAGCAAGAGTGTAAAAATACTGCAGCAGATTGTTTTTTTAAATCATGGTCACCTATAAATCAAATCCACATAACAAAATATGAAGGCAAGGCTAACAACAGGTAATCCAACTTCAGAGTGTCATTCAGGATATTAAGAAAATAAAGCTATTACATTGCCTTCCAGGACCTTTATCTACTGAATAAAGTAATCCGGTCCAGAAGCTGTAAATATAAATGGAAAGAGATAGGGAGAAAATACTCCTCAGAAATCTTGTGTCAAAACCCACAAAGAGCAGCACCCCGCAAGAGTCCTCACCATTACTCTGCTTGCTTCATCTACTACAAAAGAAATTAAATGCAAAATGAATATATGGGCAAGAAAATAGAGTTACTGCTGAAAATGTCAGATTGAGCCAAAATTCATGTGAAGACACTAATTTAAAGGATCAAAATTTTGGGGCATAGGCTACAGTACACCCAATACCATTAAACTCTTTACTGGCAAACAAAATATTAATTTAGCAAGTATACAATTAACAATGTAAAAGTACAGGCAAGCTGCTTGCAACATCTGGGAAGAAATGCTTGGGCACTTCTTAAGTCTCATGACAGAATCCATTAATTTCCGCTGAGAAGCATTCCAATCTTGACAATACTTTTCCCCCACGTCCCTCAGTTATTACAGATCTTACCTAATGATTAGTTATGTTAGCTCACCTTGCAAGCTTGCTTGCATTCTACCCAGATAAATGATTCAAATATACATCAGTAACATAATTAGTACGAGGCTTTGAAGCACACAGATAGTATCTTAGCTATCTTCTACTGAAACCAACCAAAATAAAAAAAAATTGTTAAATGACTCATTACTTTTGTACACACTTTGAACAGCGGTAGCAACGATACTTTATCCGTTCCAGCATCAAAAGGGAAAGCTTAGTACATTATATTAATGTCGAAGAACAATATATATGTCTTTTCTTTGTATATGTCTTTGTCCCCATCAGCTCAAGATTTTTCTTCACCTGGAAACCATCTCAAGGCTTATATTTAAGAATAGTTTATATGACTGTAGTGATCTAAAACAGTAATTAATAAAAAAGTCATAGATGTTTAGAAATCACAGCTCCACCATGTCCATTTCCCTATTGTGATCCAAAAAAACTGCACTTTAACTGGCAATCTTCAGGTAAGGGAGCCTTACCAAATTCCTTAAAGGCCGCTAGTTCTACTATACCCAGGTAAAGATTCAGAAGGAAATAAACCCCAATATCCCCTTTAGAAATGTAACTATACACTTGTCCTATTTTTCCACAGAATAATGAAGAGCACCATCTTCTCATTTTTAGAGAGAATAAAGAAACTACGATTACAAGTATCCACAGTTTCTCAGCTGAGTATATGCATTTGGTAAATTGATAATAGTATTTCTAGATGTTTACTTGGTCTCTGCATCTGAGCTTCCTTCCTAGTTTCATTTCTTAATGAAAAGATTTGCATCCACTATTGAAATGCAATCTTCAGTATAGAATTAGGTAAACAAATTACTATGATCAGCAAATATACACAATGATCACTTGAAATTCTATGCAGCTGTTCAACTGTGCAACTATTCTACAATATAATTATTACCTAATTTAAGAATTTAACCAACCTCGAGGCTAGTATTCAGTACTCAAAGACAACAGACTGTCTACCGTGCTCCAGCTCAGCATTGCGGTATTCATTCATGGAAACAGTACTTCTGACTCAAACTTTATGCTCCAGCAACTTTTTCAGTAATTGAGCATCAAAAAAATCTGCTCATTAAGCTTTACAAAAATACAGTTAACAGTAATGAAAGGTATCAAGCTACTATAAAGTATATTACATTATCTCATATGTCTAATGCTGAAAATAGTTTAAATGTTGAAATTGGGAAAAAAATTGAAGCCTTCAAATAATGAGTCAAGAATCAGAAAGTTATCAGCATCAGCACAAAGTGAATTTGTTTATCCACACATTTTTCATTTTAAGGCAGAACTTCCTCTATTTTGATAAAACAGGATATATTCTAGCATTTTGTTTCATATCACTCGACAAAACAAAAATTAGAGCACTTAAAGCATTAGCTATCCATACTACCATCAAAAGATTTATAGTAATAATTTAACACTTTTCCCTCTTGTTTGCCTTTTTATTTTGATATCAATTTGCAGATGTAAGAAGGAATTTCCTCTTTAGCTAACCCTATTAAATATTAAACATTAAATATCCCCATTACTTGATTAGCATTAAGTATATTCAGTTAAGAACTCATTAAAAGCTTGCCATTAATTTTCATGAAGATCTAGTACTAAAACATAAAGAGACAAAGAGTTTTCAAAGTTTTAAATAAAATGCTGATCTGTTGCTATGCATTAGTGAAGGAAAAAATGCATATTTTCCCTCCATTCTGAAATTAAAAATCATTCACATTAACTTTTTACTAATCGTTTGCTTTTGCAAAACAAGATAGACTACAAAAATGGCTTACTGATGAGTCTGTAAGTGTGATAGAAGCAGCATTGCAGGGAGAAGCACTTTTATATTTGATTCTTAAAAGCTAATAAAATGAAGTAAATCATATCTTGGAAAATACAGTAAAATGATCCCATTGTGCAACTCAGAACTATTAGATGACTGTTTAGAAATCAAACTAAATGAGAAGTATCAAAAACTATTGCTAAGTGTGAAATGATTACCAAGTTTAACAGTTTAACAAAGTAACAAGCCATTATTTACTTTTATTTTCTAAACAATCTTTTTCAATATTCAAACACAAGCTTCTGCAAGTCTTCATTTCATACAGTTGCTTTGCTGAGCCAGAAAACCACTCTCATTCTATCTATTCCCTTAAAGAAGCCAACCCTACAATAAGAATATATTTAAATGACATTTTAACATAGTGTATCTGTATACCTATATATTTGAAATATTGGTTTGTGCATGGAACACATTAAAATGACAAAGCAGCATCAAAGGTAGAAGAGGATGAAATATAGGAAATATACACTTTTGCCACTTTTATACTCTTAAACATCTGAAAATTAGAAATAAAACCTTTCCCAAGTAAAAATGATGCATAAGTTCCAAGCCAATAAAAACAATTCACTTAGTCTTAAACTTTAGAGTTCTTACTAAAATTTGGGCATCTTCAGCATGCTCTTGAATAGTCTGCAGAGCCTTTGGCAGATCCTCATCACCTTCCTGAATGCTGAATTCATCATCTGCTGCAACCTAAAGGGAAAGATACAAAATACAGGCCATATCGATATATTAAACAAATTAATTCTTTCAGAATATAGCTGTTTCAACTCCTGATACAACAGCTTAGAACAATCTCATTAAAATAATATTTCATCATACTTAAATGAAGTTACAGATATTCTGAAACGCCTAACTGAAAAATTTTCATCTTGAACAAACACACCATCTTCAAATAAAAATAGCAAAAAAAAAAATCAACTGACAATTTTCTTTAAAGATATTCAGGGCATTATTACATTTTACTGAAGAAATTTAGGTCATTCTTGCTAGGATGTTTTTCAGACAGATTCAGTATAAGAGAAGAATGAAATAGGAACATAACAGACATCACTGCAAATCATCACTAGAGTAAATTACCTCTTCATACTGACAATCATCTTCAGAGTCATCTGTTATAGTAACTTCTGCAGATTTGGTTAAGTTTGAAACAGCTGATGCATTTGATGTATTTCAGCTTAGAAAAAATATATTATAAACCAGCTATCCTCAAGTCAGTAGGAATCATTTTCTTCTTCATTCCTTATGAAGTCAGATTTCACATTTTCAAGGCTTCCCTCAGGCCTTTAAATGAACATGGACTACTCCCATGAAAGCTAGCTCTGTGCATCTAAAGGCAGAATTTAGATTCAAACTTTTCCTGGCAGATTTAAACACCATTAAAATACACATAAACAGCCAAAGTTAGAAGTCGAGCACTCTGAACCAAACGGTGGGCTAAGCTCTGCCCACATTGACTCCAGGAGTTTCGCTGCACTGGGACCTTCACAGTCCTTAAGCCTGTACGTATAGACAGCTTTGTGCTCTCGGAGAGGCAACTGGGATCAAATTCAACAAGCTTTTGAGATGAAACACAATAAGCTGAAAACTAGATCATTTCCTGAAGATGATAATGCTGTGAAGCAATAATTAAAATATCTACAATAAAAAAAATTCTAAAATGTTAAGAAGTCATTGGCAGTTATATACAGTTGCTCTAAGGGTAAAATAAAACCAAAATAATTTTTTCTCATCCCTAGAGGGCATTTCTCAGCCCTTTAAAGTATAATAAAAGTGTTTTGTAAGGTGCACTGTTGACTGCTTCCCTAGGAAATCAGCTAGCCTACAGACAACCCAGGGCAAAAAAACTGGAAATCAATTTCTGCAGGAAAGTTGCAATTCATTTCTTCAAAAATCAATTTTAAATGGTAAATTCTTATATAAGGAATTGAAACAAAACAAAATATAGATGCACAATTTTGCAGCTTTACATCAAGCTTCTCTCCATCTGGATGCTTCCTTCACAAATACGGATCATGCATCAACACTTCATCAACAAAACTATCTGTTAAATTGCAACTCTTCAAAGGGTAGCAGCTCAAGATCATATCCTGAAAAGGATAAGCACAGCTTTGTAGAGATGTCAGGTTTGAGACAAGCTGGAGATATTTTCTCTTGTAAACGAAAAAAACAATAGGGAAGTCACAGGTGAGTAAAGGCATGATTTGCAGGCCAAGGACATCTGTGTACCTCCAACAGCATGATTACACCATATGTTTAGCAGTAAAGTTATATTCACAAACTGGAGAGTTGCATGAACACTTAGAAGCTCCAATCTAGGCTCAATACATGAAAGCCAATGCCTGTAATAAACATGCTGCAAAATTTAATGCCTAACTACTGCATCACAGAACACAAACACAGAAGACAGTTTTAAGTCACAAGCTCATTGCACCTCAAACATCTCCCTCAAAGCTTCACTTTCTAACTTGGCTGACTCTGGAATGTGTAATTCTAAACTATGATCAAATTCACATACAAAAAAAGTGATTTATGATCCTCCTCCCCCATAGGGAAGAGAAAAGGAAACTTGAAAATCATTATATCTTACTGCATCAGGACAAATGTCAATTAGCTTTTCTGACTTGAATGGCACAGCAGAAAAACCAGGCAGTTCAGTTAACATACACCTTCCCAGCATAGCACTCATGGGCCTAAGTAGGTCCATCAAGGCAAGCAAAAAGCAGAGATGAGAATCTCATGTTTAGACATGACTTAAGAGCTGACCCATGAAACTTATAACAACCTGCACTGGCATCAGGCTAGATTTGGATCAACTGCCTGCTCCCAGTACAATAGGTGCATCAGGGCCCTCACATCAGTGTCTCACATCCCAATGAAAAACTGATTCCTGGACTTTATTTTGTCAGCTGGGAGAAGGGAGGGTTCATCTGAACTGCTGGCTGACAGAAAAGCTGAGCAGAGGTTTCCTTTATTGTTCTAAAAACAAAGAGGGACAACAGCAGCAGTGAAGTAAAGCTAGACAAGACACAGTAAAAGTCACATTAACTAATCAGGCTAATGTTCTAAAACCTCCTTTTCTACTTGAAGACACCCTAGTACTAACCAACTAAGCAAGTCTTTAAGGAATGTGACATTGGCCTTGCCCAAACACACAGGTGCAATGATTTCCTCTGGAACAGAGGGACAAAGTCTATACAATTCTAGTAATTGCAGGTATCATCTAGGTAGCCAAAAAGCCTAAAGTTCTTAATTACAATATAGTGCTGTAATTGTCAACTTAAAATTAATTTAAATAAAGAATAACCTTTATTTAAATAAAACCCTATACCCAGCAATTTTTCATTCCAAGTTTACTGATTTTTTTCCCCAAAGCTAACTCTTACATGGACTACAAATCACTTTTTTCCCCCACCTTGCAGTTCTTTGCTACATCTATAAAATCTTTCAACACAGACCAAAACAAGTCACATCTATCTGCAGTGCACCCTGGATGAGTAGGGTACTTTCAGGCATTCTTTTTCCTGAAATTTCTACTGATCTAACTGTACTTGTGATCCACTAGGGTCTCAACTAATGTGTTATTGCAAACACTATGCATATAGAATAAATCTTTAACTTCAGAAATCTGACTTTTTTCCCAGAAATCATATCAAGCTGCACAGCAAAGGAATTCTATTTTAAAATTACTATAGTCCCCCAGCAAGAACTGTTTTTTTAATGCACATGCTGCTTTGGTGCTTTCAGGAGACTACACCGCATGAGAAGAGCTGTGCAGTTTCAAGGCAGCAAAACCAAGCACCAAGGCAACTTTCAACTTCTTGTATTTCCTTTTCACTGGTTACATTTCAATTTGAGAGAGAACTCAGTTAGGGGCAGCTTAACTTGTGCTTAATTCACTCCAATGCAGTCTCTACAAAGCTGGCAATATTTGCTTGATTTGACAGATCAAAGCCAAAGACAGCTATCAAAGACACAACTGAGTCAGACCAACCAATTACACAAATAATCAGGGCTTCTCACCCCATCATAAACTGTATGTTTCAAAACACAATTTAACTCAGTTCTCAGAAGAATTAAAACTGTTTCCATAAAGCTGCAGCGAATAAAATTTCTACACTGTTGTATTATGAGCTTCGCAACCTGGCCATCCTCAAGGTTGCGTTTTCTCATTCATTATTATTAGACATATTCATTTCACTGGAACAGCTAATACAGAGGCAGCAAGGAGCTCTCCTTTCCAAACCTGAGCTCTTGTTCGAGATCTGCCTTCCTCACAGGGAAGGATCCCATCGCCACGGTGCTCATGGTGCTCCGGCTGGGGTGCCCACCACCACCACAGAGACCCAGGAGGAGGGCGAGGACAAGAGCAACACTAAGGGGACCGCGGCGGGGAGGGGCCAGCAGCCAGACCCCCAGGACCAAGCTCAGCCTCCTGAGCAGGAGGATAAAGAGGAGGAGAGGAGGGAAAGGGGGAAGAGGAGGATACTCTGCAGGCAGAAGGACGCCTCGGCGCCGGCCGCCGCCTCCTCCATGGCCGCTGTTTACCCGCCGCCGCGTTGCCCGTTGCTAGGGAAAGGCGCGGACTCTCGCGAGAAGTCGCGCGCCGTCGCCATAGCAACTCCCGCGCGCGGCAACGGCCGTCGCCGGCCGCTCGAAGTAACAACCCTCAGTGTAACGGCGATGATGACAAGCACGGGGCAGAATTTCCCCGGCACTGGGAAAGGAGGCTACTTGCTGCCCCTTTGAGACACTGAGCTTCCAGCTCTGGTGGGATTTGAGCGTGAGGTACTGCTTTTTACACACAAGGTTAAAAAATCCATGTTTAAAATACAGTCTGGAAAAAAGGGAACTTTTAGAAGTATGAAACAGAAATACATCATCAACTTTATCACCCCCCAGAATGCAGGCGCAATCCTGCAAGTGGACATATCGACTCTTAACATAGCATTTTGTGCAGAGGTGGCCACGCAGGGCTGCCTCATGCCTCCACCTGCAGAGATGAATTCAAGCAAAACAGCAGCACTCCAGCTCTACCCAAGTTCAAAGCTGCAATGGAAGAGCAGAGCAAGTGTCACAACATCCCTGGGCCAAGGCCACAGCACTGCTTTATAAATCCTTCCTGTCAGCTGCTCCTCCAGGACAGCTTTTATACCTATCAGGGTTTGAATTCAGCAGGGTTGATGAGTCTGAGGGCAAATACCAATACGCTTTTTTTCTGGCCTTGCATTTATCTTTTACAAGAGCCATACACATGACCAAAACAAAGAGGCTTTATATTTATATATATTTTCCCACCCAAAAGAGTGGTCATAACTGAACTCAGCTATGCATCTCAGTAACAAAAAATAAGAGCTGCCATCATGAAACACAAGTCCTATGGCTCAGTATATCCAAAACTGCAGGATTACTAGTAGTAAAGCTGTTGCGACAGCTTCAAATTCAGGCCTGAGCCTTAGGAAATCTCCTCATTCCAAATTTAATCATGGAACACATGTGGCTGTACTTGTATCATACAGGAAAGCAGAGCTAATTTACACGCTAAGTACTTCTCTTTAGCAGATTTGCTGTTGGCCTTCAAAGTCCTGAAATAAAGTATTGAGCAGGACACTTTTTCCTCTAGGTCTGTGCAAGCTTCATCAGCCCCTGTAGTCCAAGATTCTCCCTTCAAATTTTCCCAAAAGCTTCTCTACCTCACTTGCCTAAGAAAACACCTGGTATCCACAATTCAAGGCACCTTAAGCAAGCTTAGAGAAAGTCCAGCAAAGTGCTTTGAGAAAAGATTAGGGAACACAAGTGGAAAAAGGATCTCAATCTTGTAGGTTTATCAATGACTACAGAGCTTGATCAAAGTGCAGAGGTAACAAATGTGGTAAGAAAGTCCAGGCAGAGATGCAAGCATTCAAAAATAAATTATGTCTAAAAACAAAGAGCAAGTTTTTAAACAGTGAGAAAAGTAACTTTTAGACTGACTTCCTAGTATTACTGAAGGTTTTTTTTTCAAGCAGCAATGGAGTTCTTCATAAAAGCCTTATTTTGCATTCAGACTCCAGTTAATTCAGGGATATCCTCTACCCTACCTTTTCAGAAAGGCCAGATAGTCTTTGCAATGGTACCTTCTAACCTTATAAAGTATGGAAAAAGTGAAATGAGAAGTTAACCACTTCAATAATGGGGAGACTTACAAATATGCTAGACGGGTGGTAGATTTTATCTGGTTTTTAAAGAATCAGGTTGTTACCAATTGTATTTTCCAAAGCCCTAAGCCTTTGCTTTGAAACAGCAGAAGCTTTAACAGCCATTTTTATCATCCCAAGAGTCTTGTCCCACCATGACTGTATAAATGACCTGTTAGTACAGGGTTTTTCCTTCAAAATACATCACAAGCCAACCCATTTTTTCCTCCACCTAGTTAAGATCCACCATAACTGCATCAGATTTGGTACTGCTATACTGATTTCCAAACACAAAATTCTCCCTGCTATGTAACACCATAATCCTGAGTTATAAATTATCATCTTCTCCCCCAAGAAGAATTACAAATGGTGTTACTTAGTTTCTCATGAGAAATGGAAGCAGGGTCTGCAGCAGCTTCAACACTTCTTTAGACAGGCTGCTTATTTTGCACAGAGCAATGACTAACCCACACACTTTAGCGCTATGTCAGCCAGATAAGTTGTATTGTTTTTAAAGATCACTCATGAAAAACCGGATAGATACTGCAGATACATTGCATTTGCTCCCAAGCCTTAAGGGCCAGATAGTCACACTTTATTCCGCCCACCAAAGGAATGTGAGACTCAGCTCTCACCAAGAGCAAATTGTCCCCTCCTATCGCATTCAGCAGTGGCATTGATGACAATTCTGACAATTGTCAGTCCACTGCCTTCTACACACCCATTTTGACTGCTCTTCAGTGCAGCTTTGGGGTTACAGAATAAGGGAATATCAACTTAGTCTTTTGAAGGAGTTCAGAATGTAGCTTTAACAAGCACGTAGACACACAGGGACAGTGAAAGGGCCATAGCTTCCCAATCATGGCAGGGTCTGGGCCCACAGCTAGAAGCTGGAATGAGTTGGCAAACAACTTGCTCCAGCTTCTGCTGTGCCATCTGGCTCCCAGTTAGGCAACTGACATTAAACATCTTTTCTCCATATTACCATCTGGCAGTTGCTTGTACAACAGAGGAACACACGGAATTTGGCTAACAGTCATCCTAAGAATCACATCAAGGATACTTGCCTCCATAAGAGTATGAGACCGAAAGAGCTTAGAGGAAGTTTCTTTAGGTGACAGCGCCACATACACAGTATTATGGAACAGGAAATTATTCCACATTGTGAGGTTCAAAGTACAACCTGAGAACATACTATATACAGGGAACAGATTAATGCAATGAGAAGTCATAACACCTGATAATTTACATTCATCGATTTTGCAAAGCTCCTGTAAAAGTTCCTAAAAAGGTGACAATAAAATATTCACATCCCTGCAGAATTTTTATGCAACATGTTTATGCAACATTTGCCATCCTACAGAAATACACCCACTCTTTCAAAGAACAGCAGCTCCCATCCTTCTCTTATTGCAGTAATGGTGCATGTCAAAGGTAGCTTCAATAAAAAATAAAAAATTAAAGGAATTTATTAGTAAAAAAGCACAGAAAATCATAGAATCACAATCATTATGGAAAAGATGCAACTGAAATGTGTTTTTAAAATGCAGCAACAGTATGAAGTGCAACTAATGGAATCTCTGCACTGTCAGATATTCTAATCTAACAAGAACCTAGGGTCCATTTTAACTTTGCTGGGCTTTAAAAGTAATAGTGTAAGTCATTCCAAAAATGGAGTAGGATTTCAAATGAATGCAATTCGGTGACAGCTTAAATCAAAGCAAATTTTCAACCCTGCTGTGCATTCCTTCCTCTTTCCTCACCCCTGTGCTGGTGCTCATATCACCTCTGATAAGATGACACAGCTGAAAACTAGTCCAGAAGGAAAGAAAGGTTTTTGAACGCTAGAAATAGCAGTGCTAAAATGCTAGAGGTTTGATACTCAAGGAGTTGAGCTCAAATATTAAATACAAAAGCATTTTGTTTCTACTTGACTCTGCAGAAGAGTAGTCAATGTATAAGTTTGATTACATTTCCAGATATTTCTACAACTTAGATCTAGGACACAGCAAATAGCTGAAAAGCAGCATCTGAGTTGAAATATTGCATTTTATGGAAAAAAGTCAATTTCCACATATATCAGCACATCTTCTGGTTTTCATTCTCCTGGACAGGCAATTTGCTAAAGGCATAACTACCACTGCCTGGAATACCAGTCATACTATTCAGCACATAATCCAAAAGCCCTTTTTCTTTGATGAATTTTTAAAATTTAGCCTGGCTTTGGTTTCCCATGCAAAGCTCTTCCACACAGAAGAACACATAAGCAGCTGTTCTGCAGGACTGCAAGCAGAAGTCTGAAGTGCTTTAACTCCATATTCCTCTACACACAATCAGGGAATGAACAAACACCATCGATAACTGACACAGGTGCAGTGGGACCACAGTTCAGTTTCTAGAGGGCACAGGACTGTTTTCCATTATAGACACTGGGATTATAATGTACACAGCCTAGTCAGACTCTATAATGTATAATAAAAGGGAGTTAGTCTATCCATGCTGATGCTGCTGTTTGAGAACTGCAGGCTCCACATCTTCTGCTGTTGTTGCCTTGGAAAATTCCCAGGAGAACTGGACAGATGGCACATTTTGGCTCCCCGTGCACTAGATCAGGAGTGTTTCTGCATCGCAGACAAGAATAAATTGTGCTAAGACAGAGGAGATTTGACATACAGTCATTTTAGAAGTGTAACTGACCCATGTTCTCTCTAAGCTTCAGTTTTATGAACACAAAGTTATTTTATGCAGCTTACAGGAATTAAAGATCATCTGTTCCTTGTAATTAGGGACATTTTATATTTTCCTGTCCTCTTTGAAATTAGCTTAATTAATAGGCTTTTCCAATTCAGGTAGTTGCCTACAAAGCCTCACTACTAAAAGTTAACTAAGTGTTTTTTAAATAGTGTGACAGTTGTCAAAAGCAAAAAAAAAAAAATGCACCAAAATAGTGTGCTGCCCTAAATTGTGTTTAGCAATAGAGACAAGCTAAAGTTGAAGGGAACACAACAGAAAGGTAGGAAAAAAGTGACAGTTTAATGATACTCATCTTACCATCCTGGCTTGTAATTCACTAACTGATTCCCAGGTAACATCTTCCTCTTGGAAGCCCAAGCCATACACTGAACAGGCAAAATTTTAGCAGGTTTTCCTGCTCCCCTGCTTCAGCTGCTTGACTTGTACTTATTTTTAGAGG